AGTATAAAAAAAAAAGAGACAGTACTATTATCTATCTCAGGGTGCTGCTATGAGGATTAAAGGATACATGTAAAACCCTAAGGGTATTTCTTTGCCTATAGTAAATGCTCAATTTATGTCAACATTTTGCTTATATCCATGATAAAGGGTATTAACATTTATTTAAAATTGTATGCAACAATTGCCAGGCATGAACAATGAATTATCTTGGTTTTATTTCTGTGCTTTGGAGATGTATTCTAAGCCTACCTACCTACCTATATATCTATGTACTGCTGTAACAATTTTATTTGTGTTTTGGTGGGAGAATTTGAGATCCATGCAAAACTTAAATTTCATGCTTCAAAAGCATTGTAAAACAAATATGTAATAATGTGTTACCTTACAGACTGAATATTCCAGAGTGTAAAACATTTAAATAGACGTATCTGTACATTATTGAATTCTGTGCAAAAAACAATGATGACAACAAAAAACCTACCACTACTTGAATACCACCTGTCACTGACTTTGGTTTTTTTATTTTGCTTTTGCAGCATGCCTTAAAAGCAATTACTATTCCATTATTGTTCACACAAGAGAAAATTTACTAGCTTGTAATTTAGAGGCAAGTGGAGTGGACAGAAAAAAGGGAAGCAGCAACAGCCTAAATGTTTAAAAGACACAACATTCATCGCACCAAACAATAATCCGAACATGTTTTCATGTCTATTCACGAGACAGAATCATCAGTGAAAAGTAGGTTGAAGGAGGAAGAATGATGGAAAGAGACAATAGGAAGAGGCAGAAGGGAGAGCATCTTTAAGCCCAAATTGTTATTTCTGGCCCATTAAAATATCAACATCCAAATGAAAACTGCTGGTCTCCAAAGAAAACTCTATCAAAAATGAACCACAATTCAGATATTGTACACCCAGGGAGAGTAAAGAAAACTAACATTTATAGCCTAAGAAGATTGGCTGTAGTTTCATATATACATTTCTATAAAATTCTCACATTTTATCAGACCTATGGCATGACTCTTAATAGCTTTCAGAGAAAGAGAAATAAAATATAAAGGGCACATTTCAGGTAAAATTGTTTTTTAATGTTTCATCCAAGAAAATCTAGGTTCCTTCACTTTAAAAATAATTGCCCTACAGAAAGTAAATGTACCAAGGGTAAAAGGTAAATCTCATGTTTCCTAAAAGGAAACATACACAGAATTCCTATTTAGGGGGAAAGGTGCCAAACATTGGAAACTCGTGTATCCTTTGGATTATGGCTCCAATAAGCAGCAGGTAAAGGGGGAAAGCACACAAATGCTTCTGAAAAAAAGCAAGACAGAATTAAACCTCAAAACTCCTTTACCTTCCCAGTATACAAATAGCTTAATAGCATCCAACAAAAGATTCAAGCAAGGGGCTTAGTTCATTACTTTCCAGAAACATCTTCTAGATGCAATTTCCATCACTGACTCCTTTGACAACCCCTTAAGTGTTTGAGAGCCGGCCTGTCTTCCAGTCTTATTTCATTAAATTTAAAATTTCTAAAAGATTTTTTTTCTTGCTTGCAAAGTCTTTTTTTTTTTTTTTAAACATTTCAATTCAATTGATTTCCAGAGGTGAAACCAACTTCACCTGAAAAACATGTTTTAAATTTAAGAAACCTTTGAAGGTTTTCTGGTGAAAACCAGAAATCTGACCAGTAGTGTTATTGAAAACATGACTAAAAATAAAGTCACATTTATCTGTAGTTGTGGCTTTTATCAAAGCAGCTTAAATCCTTTGCAAATAAGCTTTTCCAGAGAGGTGGATCAATAGGACGTGCAGAGAGGCAGGATTACCTGTGATCCACAGTGCAAGACCCCATCAATGCCACAGGAAGAAGAGGAGTAGCTGTTGAGATATTTGAAAACTGAAAAATCCCCTACCACCTCCTTCTCCAATGAAAAGCCCCATTTCTGTGGCTAAGATTCACACTAAACTTCATTTGCAAATGGATTTGGCTGTTAACTTAAGAGTGTTCAATGCAAATATTTCTCTCCTGGCAGTGCAGCTCAGTTGAAAGGAAAGACTGAAAATTAGTTAGCTGTATGAGACGACAAAGCACCATTTCAGTTACCAGGGAGGAATAATTGAACACAGATTGCCTGTTGCGTCTTTAATTTAATTTGGAGACCTTTCATCCTTTGCTTTCCTTCATTTGCAGCCAGTACTTAGCCAGCTAATTTGTACCTGGTTCATTTTCTTCCTTTTATCTTATCCACTTTAACATCAACCATGGAAATTAGAAGCACCATGAATAAAAGATGAAATCTGACTTGAAAAAAAAGATGAAATCCTTAAGTACTGTGAATTACTTAAAAACTAATTGGTGTGCATGCACAACATAAAGGACTGAGATATATGCCTCAGCCCCATAGCATTTCTGATCAGCATCTTTGTTCTCCCCAAGGAGCTATAGATATTCAATGTTTTATCTGGTCCTACTTTTTCTCCAGAGAGCAATGTCTAAACTGCAATTTACACGGAATCATTAATCTGAGAATGGATATATGGTAGGCTGTCTCATTAATAAACCTAAGGGTTTCCAAATTCTGGAAAATGTACAAGACTAAGAATTCATAAATTCCGCTAACCTAATGAGTTCAATAATGCTTGCCATGCAAGAAAAAGGTTATAACAAAGAAAACTGAATATATCAGCATACAAATATGTCACACAGAGGCCTAATCTGTCCAAAAACATTGCTGGTGGGGGAGTGGTAGAGAAAGGTACTAGTCATAAAATTAGTGTCTGGGAGTGACTTCCAGGAGCTAGAAAACTTAAATTCTAAGTATGTCATGCCTATCATGCTTAAAATGACAACAAAAACAACAAACATAATGTATATTTTGTAAATGACACTTCACCATTAAAAAATAGTTCCATATGCTCTTAAAGATAGGTTATTTTGATTACTGCATTACCTCCAATTGTACAAAAGTTTAGTGTCTTGAAAGTTTTGCATGTTTCCTTTATAATTTCCTCTCTGACAATATCATTTTTTCCCCCTACCCTCTCCTCATTTTATATTTCCCCCGTATGAACCAATGAAAAACTTACTGGAATTTTCTCCTGTGGCTTAATAACTCCCACCAACAAGCCATCCTTTCAGCTTGGGAAGCATCAAAGGAAGGCTGTGTCCTGAATCATTTCACCGCCTGCATGAGCCAACTCTTCCAGTCATCTAATACCTCACACCAACAGGCTAGAAGCTCGGAATAAACTGAATCATTCCTCCTTCACTATCTAGCCTTCCACAAGTTTCATTAACAGTAATGTGCACTATTTTACTTCAACGAGACCACATATTTTCACAGAACAGGCAACTTCCAAGTTGTAGAAGAAAAAAAAAAAAGATCTTGCAGTTTAAACATTATGGTGCATTGAAATGTATAGTCTTTGCTTCATAAGCAAGTCACTTTTTTTTGAGGGGGAAGCACTAAAGCAGGATTAAAAGCCCAGTTAAAAACATCAGATGGTATCTCTAATCTTGGGTTAAATAAGGACCATACTATATACAATGCCAGGCTTATTTATTCACCTGGAGAAACATGGAAAGAAAGCCCTCTGCAGTGAAAGGATGGAGAAGAAAAGATGAACAATTACTGTGCCTTTTGTTCATGAAAGAGAGGGTGAATAGAAATGAAGGCGACAATTACCTTTAAGAAAACTTTTTTAAAGCCACACAGAAAAATTAAACTGGAAGGGCCCAGAAGAGCTCTGTCCTGGGGTTAAGAAAGCAACCCAGAGATGAGGATGAAAGTGTGGGGAGCAGTTAGGGTGTCTGACCACCAGACATACAGATTATTTCAGGAGTTCAGTGTCCAACTCACACATAGTATTTTCCCGTCGTCCAGTTTACTTAAGAGAAGGGGGATTGCGGGGAGTCTCTCTGAAGCAGGATGTCAAGAAATTTCAGGTGTAGGAAAGCCACAGTCTCACAAAGCGTCAAATCAATCAGGGAGATTTTCTTTGGCTATAACTGCTAGGAAGAAGAAAACTGACAAAACTCATGCAACTCGGTCTCATTTGCAGACTGCGCGCGCGCACACACACACACACCGCAAGATATCAGCCTCAAGGAAGAACACCTGTTCTAACCCTGTGCCTGCTGGGGGTGGGGTGGGGGAGGGGTGTGTGTGCGCGCGCGCGCGCGGCCATCCCAGGGACTGCGTAGGCCATCTCAATAGTAGGGGGCCCGGCTGCACTCAGGACCTCACAGATAGCACCAGGACGTCGCGGAAAGCCCCGCCAAATGTGTCCTGGCTAACTCGCCAAAAAGAGGCCTTAGACATAACCACAGGGGACAACCAGTTTATTTACCAGAAAGGGTTTTCTGGGGGAAAAAACAAAGGTAATCTCGAGGGTCAGAAGACTTTTGTGAGGTGTGGGGAAGAGAGAAAGGAAAGACCTGCACAGAAGTCAGTGTTTCTTCTAGCAACTGTTTCCGTGCCAGCGGGCTGCAATAGAGAAATTTCTCTCTAGGCTATCTCCAACTTCCTTCCTATATGGTCCTAGACTGAGAATCACACCTGTAGGGGCTGAAAAGCCTCGAGTACACCAAGCCTACCGTCCCCCACTTCCCCCGCCGCACTAAGGTGCAGGTCCCTCCATGATCTCCTCTCTCCTAGGCTCCATCCTCAGGTCGGCAGGAGCCCGGCCCCTGGAAATCATTCCCGCGCCTCACACCTGTGCTATTCTCGTGACCCACTCTCCACACAGAAAAGCTCCAGAACAGACTCTCGCCCCTTGAGCCACAGTGATCCTCTCTCACACACGCCCTCCTCCTCCACGGCCAGCGGAGGCTGCAGACTACCAGCAAAGGAGCAGCACAACTCGGTGCCCCGAATGCGCGCACAGAGAACTGAGAACTCCAAAGTGCAGCCCGAGCGCAAGGGGTGTGTGGCTGCAGCCTGGCCGGCCCCGGGGGCCCCCCCCCGCCCTGGCGCCCAAGCGGGGCGGGCCAGCCTCTACCTCCTGGAAGAGCTCCAGACTGTAGGTGTTGTCGTCGTCGGCGAAGAAGAGCACGCCCGGCTGCGCGCGCTGGTGCTGGTGCCTTTGGCGCAGCCAGGCAAGGCCCGCGTTACGCTGCTCGGTGGCGCGCGGCAGCCCGGGCCGCTTGTAGCGCCGCGGCGTGGGCACGTGCAGGTGCGTGCTGGGCAGCCCGGCCCGCGCCAGGAAGCGGCTCACCAGCTCGCTGCGCGCCGCCGCGTCCTCCACCAGGATCCAGTGCAGCTGCGCCACCTGGCGGAACGTGTTGGCCAGGCGGGTCAGCTCCGCTTTCTGCACCGGGCGGCTGTAGGTGGGCGTGATGGCATAGATGGTGGGCAGCTGCGGCTCGGGCTGCGGCTGTGGCCGAGATTGGTTGCGCTTTTCGGTCCCGTGCGCCGGCCCGCCCCTACGGAGCGGCAGTCGGGCGCCCCCGCGGCCCACCGCGTAGGGAGAGAAGTAGGGGCGCGGGGTGATCGGGGTCGCAGGCCTGCGCGTGTCCACGTCCAGCATGATGATGACAATTAGGATCCAGGGCAGGAGAATGAAGAAGCGGGTGAACAGCACGGACTTCATGGTGAACGCTCCCCGGCCTCTCCGACACCCCAGAGCGGGGCGAGCCGAGGGACCCCAGTGCGCAGCTTGGACGGCTGCGGCGCCGGCACTTAGGGAATGGTGCCGCGTGCGCTGTCCACGGGGCCGAGGGCGCTGCAGAGACCTGTAGCCGCCGGGCTCACTACCTGGGCGTGGAGGAGCCGCAGGTTCTGGCAAGCTAGAGCAACAAGGGGTGCAGGCGTGCGGACAGGGGCTGCACCCCACTCCGGGTGAGCTGGCGGGAAGCGGGACTCGGTCCAGCCGCGCGCCGCTGGTCCCGGAGTTGTGCCGAGTGCTGGGAAGGCGCTGATCCCCACCGCGCTCTTTCCGAAGAGTGGGAGCCGGGAAGCGGCACCCGGTGCACCTTGCCGCTCCAGTCCCGCTGTGCTGCGGGGACAGGGGCTCCAGCCGCGGGTCGCCAGGACGCTGTCCGGGACGCCTTCGAGGGCGGGCGGCGGCGCTGGGGGCTTTCCCTCTTCACATTTCTGCCGGGGTGGCGAGGCGCTGGAGGGGACGCCGGAGATGTTGTGGCCCCGGCTATGTTCGCGCGCCGCAGCGGAAGCCTGCGCTCAGTCCCTCGCTCTTGTCTTCTCAGAATCTCTCCCGGCTCCAGCAGCAAGATCCCAAAGCAAGGAAAGAAAGAAAAAGCGAGGGGGCGGGGGCGCTGCAGACTCCAGCGTCCTCCCAAGTCCTCCTGTGGGAAGACAGCAGCTCTGCTACTGGCGGAGAGGGGCTGCGAGAGGGAGGCGGGGAGGGGGCCCCTGCTCTCGGCGGGGTCTGGCGCTAACGGCACTGCGAGCAAGCTCGGGAGGTGGCAGCTGCACCGCTGGAGGAGGAGCGGGAGGAGCGTCCCCGCGGAGCTGTACGACCTCCGGGAGGGTGTGATGCTCGTTCATCTCTCTTCAGCTTTGTGAAATAAGGCAAGGTCTTTGGAGATTAGCCAGGAAAATCCATTCACGTGCGGAAACTTGCCGGGCTACGCGCGTTGGTGCTGATGCCTAGGGTTCGGAGTGAAAGGAGAGGAAAAAGCGAAGGGATCCCTCCTCCTGCTCCCAGCTGCCGCGTTGATGTGCTGGGGGGTGTATCGAACAGCCGCAACAGAAAGCGCTTTCACTGCAAGGCAGACATCAATAGAAGCCCACGGAGATGGAGGAGTGCTGCACATAGGTGTCTGGCATGTGAGATAGTCCAAAAGAAAGAATCAATACGGAGGGCTGCTGCCTGACTAGTTAGATCATTGGGGGGAAATTCCTAAAACTCCAGCTGAGCATGTTTAACTTATTTCTCTTCGGTAATTTGGAGTCACAACCCCTCCCAGTTCTTCACTGTCACCGGAATTATTCCGTTTGACCCTCCTAAGGCTCCTGTCAGAAGGCCTGGGAAGTAGAATCGCCTTCATTTTCAGGATGAGGAAGCTGAGGATCAGGAATTAAAGTGATTTCTCTTAGGTCAGTGGCAAGTAGCATAGTGGAAATAGAACGTGGGTCTCCTGTGTATGTGCATAGCTGATAACATCCTCACTGCCTGGCCTGCAGAAATCCCACCCGACACAGTCAGCCGGGCTGGGTTGGCCTTCCTAGATAAAAAGATTGTGCCATCGAAATCAAACAGCGTATGATGACATATAGAACCATGATAGGATCTGGAAGACCCCAAGTAAACAGTTGGCACTTAGTTTAGACACTTTTTGCTCTCTAGCCGGCCTACTAGCTGAGTGCCTGACTTTGTGTAACGTACCAAGAAGAGGGGCTGTGCTTCCCAGGCAGGTCCCAGGGAAGTGCTTGCAAAGCAGCAGGAAAGCTCCAGACTTTTCTGCCCTAGCCTATGATAAATAATTTCTGAGCCTATCTTGTCTGGTTGTCTGCCTTTTTCAGGCTTGTTCACAAATAAATCCCTCTCCCACTGTGCATTCTGGTGCAACTGAGAGCTCTGGGGCGAATGGCTCACCAGCTTTTCTGACAGCTCCTCTTCTCCCAGTCCTACCCTGAACCTCCCGCCTGTTATCAGGCATTGGCTCATCTGTGAATTTCCCTTACTTCCTCTTCAGATTCTGAAACCTGAGAGTGAAATTTCAGACTAACACCCAGCCACCCCAACAACTCGTTAGGGCTAGCCTTCTGTCCCAACTTCTCTGTGCCATCCACAACTCATACATTAAGCTCTGCAGATTAGTGCATTCTAAGCATAGGAAACAAGGAAGCCATTAGACCTCTTCCCATATTCTCGAATAGTCTCATGTGCCTATGAATATAACACAACCTTGGGCATGTATCCCGTGCCACCATCATGCCAGGATGGGGAAAAGGAAGGGAGTCAGGAAAAGGTTTTTCTTAGAAAGCAGTGCATCCCCTTCCCCTAGGTTACTGAAGTCTCATTCAGCCTGTTGGAAATTTTAAATTTGGTTAAAATGACCTGTGTTCACTGGAGTAAAACTGAAGTGGTTACTGAATTGTACTAAAAACGTCATTAACCTTTGTTAGTGGGAACTTTTGGTTAGTCCCACTATACCATAAAACCTATTTCCTATTGTATCCTCCCCAGGAACCAGGGCTATTCAGAGATGAAACTGTGTGTGTGTGTGTGTGTGTGTGTGTGTGTGTGAGAGAGAGAGAGAGAGAGAGAGAGAGAGTCTCTCTTTAATGCCAAGGTTGGAGTGCAGTGTCTCAAACACAGCTCACTGCAGTCTCAACGTCCTGGGCTCAAGCAATCCTCCTGCCTCAGCCTTCTGAGTAGCTGGAACTACAGATGTATGGTGCTACACTCTGCTAATTTTTTCATTTTAGTTTTTGTAGAGACTGGGGTCTCCTCCTGTTGCCCAAGATGGTCTTGAACTCCTGGGTTCAAGCGATCCTCCTGCCTTGGCCTCTCAAAGTATTGGAATTACAGGTGTGAGCCATTGTGCCTGGCCCAAAACACTTGCAAAATCAATCAAATTTTCAGTTTGAGACTTTAGCCCATGCCCAGAAGTCATGGGTGTCAAAAAACACAACATTTAACTAACACATCGTGGACTGTCACTTCATCTGTCTATTACCCTTAGTCAGCATTTGTACCCAGGCTTACTTCATTCAGTCATCTGTTGGTGACTTCATGTTCTCGGAGTCAGGCAGACCTGGGTTTGAGTCCCATCTGTGATACTTTCTACTGTGCAACTTTAGAAAATCAGTGAGCCTCTCAAGGCCTATGCTGCCTCATCTGGGAAATGGGGTTAATAATACATACTCCTTGGGAATCTTGCAGGGATTAAATGGTATATGTTAAGTACTTTGAAGAAGATCTATTATTACACAGGCATTCAATAAATGATATGTAAATACATATAAGCCTTCCTCAAAAGAACACCTTAACACAAGAGTTCTTGATGGATCATCATTATCAAATGAATATAAAATGAAATCTAAACAGGACTGATAATGCTTCTAAATATCTTCCTTACTCTTCCTGTAAGGAAGATGATTCCTAGAGTATATGTTAGAGTCTTTCCAAGTTGGTATAGGGAGGGGGAAAAAAGAAGAAATCAATTTACCCCAAATACCAGGTACAGCTTGCCATGCAATAAGGATGACATGATTCCAAGTGACATTTATTTCAAATGGCCAAATATGCCATATTGTTTTACATTAAGTGACTCATTATGTAGCCCCAAATCTCTTAGGATCAAACCTGAGGAAAGGTATAAAGATACAAAAATTATTATTAAGGATGTCCATTTGAAGTATAAAACCAGGGCAAAACACTTTTAAGTGCAACAACTTATACTTTGAAAATATGGCGAGTCTATCAGGAGCTGGAATAGAAACAACTCCTTTAAGCTTGGATAAAATGTCATTTTTATGAAGCATAATCACTAAGTAAGCTATAGTACTTTTCCATATAGCTTATGATATTCTTACATAAAACAGGTTAAGCTTGATCTGTGGCTGATAATGAAGGTTGCTGGAAGTCACTAGAGTAATTAAAATAATTACCTAACTTTGGAGCTTCTGCACATCCTCTCAGTGTTTATTTTCATTTAATCTCTCTAATTATTTGTGTAGAAAAGTGAGCACTGCTTCATCTGTACTAATGAAGCCTTAGATTGCTGGCATCAGCTACTACGTTTCAGCATTCAATTGTTGTTCTCAAATAAACAAAGGTAAAAAAAAAAAAATCCCATCTGGGGAGTTAACAAAAAACATATAATCACCAAACATTTACATTTTGCCTTGATGAGTAATATGCAACTGTAACTCCAGCAGCAGAAAGATTACAGCATGATAAGTGCACTATACAGAACTGATCCCATTTGACATTTGAGCCTGGGGTTCTACTGGTGTGACTAAATCAACATTTAAGCAAGCATTTGGGGACATCTTTGATATTCTTAGCCAAGTAGGAAAAGGATTTTTTTTTAAACTATACAAAATTAAGTATTTGTAAATATCTATATGATAATACTGTGGTTATGGAAATTAGGTTTTGAAGAGAATCAGAGCTAATGCATATATGAGTAATAATGTAACGTGAAAGTATTGATAATCAATGCTCATGTGCATGGGAACATAAATACCTTCTGTTAAACTATCAGACACAATTATATGAAAGAATGATATCAAAATAAATCATTCGAATAGCCCCAAATTCCAGGGATACATGACAGTTTCATTGATAACTGTCAGAAAATTGACATCCAAACTGCAAATTAAATGGCTCGTTTGTTTTTTTCATGCATCTGGATCTTCTGCAAATATCCCTTTTTGTCTAGAATTGTTCTAAATTATAATGTTTCCTTAACATTTTGGACATTTGCAGCTATTATGTACAAGACATGACGTTAGAGGTAGTTCAGTAAAATCCCGTTTTTATAGGATGGGTTGGGAACAAGGTTATTTAGTAAAAGTGATTTTCTAGGAAAGTCGAAATTGGCAATTTACTTTAACGATTCCATGGAAAAATAGTTCCATTCAGTGTGAATAAGAGCTGACGATATAACATACCAGTGCTCCTTCCTTTCCTTTTATTAATGGATCAGAATATGCAAAAACCCAATAAAACATGCATAAAGACATACTGGCATCCTT